TGTGTCAGTAAATTTGTCTTGGAACACACACCGGGAGCGCCAACTTAACACACCACAATTCTTATTGCTTCCCCCCCCCCCCCCCACACCCAAAAAAAAAAAAAAAAATATTTCTCCCCCCCCCCCCCCCCCCCCCCCCTCGCTATCCCCTTAAGAATCAAGGGTTGCGAAGCTAGGGGGTTTTTCTGTCCTGTCCTTTTTTTTTTTTAAAAAAAAGGAAAAGGAAGAAGCACCCCTTCTAGCACCCCCCTTTGCATCCGATTCCAAACCCTGATCCTTGCTCCTGCTTCACAGGAAAGAAGCAGGAAAGTAGCAGGATTTGGATTTGGTAAGCAGCAGGGGGGTGCTTCTTTCCTGCTTCGCAGGAGCAAGGAGAAGAAGCTAGTGGAGAGGGGTGCGCCTGCTTCTTTAGAATCAGGACGCACGGGGGAGGGAATAAAAGAGGTCAATTTTAATATTTTATTTTAACCTTTGCCTTTTATTAATACTGCGAGACAGTCCTTTTTTTGCTGCCAGCCACTGCTCCCTTTCCCTTTCCTTTTTTTTCGTAGGGTGAGGGCCCCTTCTATCACCCCCTTTGCTTCTTTCCTGAACCGAAGGAAAGAAGCCAGGATCAGAGGGGTGCTTCTTACCTGCTTCTTTCCTGCTTCGCAGGAGCAAGGATCAGGGGGAGCACAGAAATAAAAAGGGGGAATCTGATAATGGTAATCAGTTGTATTTGCATTACAAATATGATAGTTCAAATCTATCTTTCTCCATTTAATTAAAATAATTTTAGTTTATTGGCACCCTTAGGATTTTTTTTGTCTTTGCCAGCGCCCCTGGCCAAGGGGTCCTTTTTTTGGCAGGCATTTACCTTGCCCCCTCCGAACCCAAAGGAATGAATCCTTTGGCTTTCCATCCTGCGAAGCGATTCTCCTGTGCCCTTGCCTCCATTCCTTTTTTTTTTTACTACTAAAAAAAAGGAATGGAGTCCAGCCAAAGGAATCATAAAGGGCAAAAGAGGAAAGAAGTAGAAAGGAGGGGTGCTACGCCCTTTAGAATCAGGGAGTGGGAGCTCTCAGCCCTGAAGCTGCGAAGCAGGAAAGAAGCACCCCCCTGTTCTCCTGCTCCTGCTCCCCTCCTTCGGGTTCGGTGGGGCGAGAACAGGAGAAGGGGAGGGGGAAAAAGGGGAGAAGGAGCTTCTTCTTCTCCCGAAGGGTAAGAAGAAAAGAAAGGCTACTCCTTTTCTTCGTAGAAAAAAAAATACATCGTCAAAATTAGAGCCTCGGTTGCTTAGTGGTCCAAGCGCGATTCTGAAGAAATTGAGATGGGAGTTCAATTCTCTCCCGAGGCAAGTTTTTCTCCCTCCCCCTCTGTCCTGTCCTTTTTTTTTTTAGGTAGAGGAAGAAGCAATCTTTTTTCTGCTTTTATCAAAAAAGGATGGAAAGAAGCAGCCATACCTTTGCCCCTTATTAATCCTTCAGTCCTTCGGATTACAGTGATCCTTTTTATCTTAAAAAGGAAGAGGGGTGCTTCTCCTGCTTCGCTCCCTCCTTCGGATTAAATTTAAAATCAGTAGCCCTCGCCCCTAGCTACGCAACCCTTGATTCATCAAGGGTGCTTCTTTAGAATCAGAAGCTGTGCTTCTTTCCTGAAGCTGCGAAGCAGGAAAGAAGCCAGGATCAGGAGTGGGTAAAATAGTTAAGTTACTTAACTTAGGTACACATTATTTAAGACAAGGATATTAGGGGGGGGGGGAAGGGACATATAATGATAAGAGTTTAACTCACAAATAGCTAATAACAGAAATAAACAGACTATAATTATTCGACTAGACTTCTTCCCCCTCTTCTGTCCTGTCCTTTTTTTTTTAAAAAAAAGGAAAAGGAAGAAGCACCCTTGTCCCCCCCCCCCTGCTGCTTACCAAATCCAAATCCTGCTACTTTCCTGCTTCGCAGGATCAGGATTCGGATTCGGATTCGGATGCAAAAGGGGGGGGTGCTTCTTACCTGCTTCGCAGGATCAGGTTGCGGAGCTAGAAGAAGCGCGAAGCGCGAAGCGCCCCTCTGCCCCTTTT